GCCGCCCCCGCCGCCGCCGCCGCTTCCGCCTCCGCCGCCATCTCCTGCAGCTGGCCGAGCGTCGCCGCCGGCTCCGCCCACGTCCACACGATGAAGCCGTTGCTCGTGGTGCCCAGCAGCGTGGTCTCTTCCTTGTCCAGCTTCAGCTGCAGCAGGATCTCCGTGTCGTCGTTGCCGGCTCTCGGGAGGTCGCACTGAAACGGGAGTCAGGGATGTAGAACGCTGCCACTGCGCAAACGAAGTACTTTCCGCTCCCAAGAGGCCAGTAATCTTAAGAATAGATTAAAAAGACCCTACTCTGCGGAATAAATCCCTGTGAGCTGTGTTTTCACCACGAGCTTTCTCTTGACTGCTTACAAAAGAAGTGAAAAGTTCGAATCGATATTACTATTGCTTTCCGAAATATTAAGGTTGAGAAGTCACAAAATCGTTTCTGTTGATGCTCCTATGAATTGTATACTGAACAACCTTATTGTAAGATTTGAAGAGAGTAAAGTATCTGGTGGAGAAAGGAACAATGAATTTATGCAGTGGATAGCGCTGTTTAAAATTCAGAAATAACTCATGGCTCGTGTTCAACTTCTCGTTGGTCAAGCTTCGACTATCCGCATTGTCCATCCATATGGCACAGTGCTGCGGCGGCAAGAAGAGGAAACTTTTTTAATGCAGCTATACGGCATGAGGGGAGGAGATTCACCTGAAAAATGTCATCTATTGTCAACTCTTGGAATTAAATGAACCTCGGCGACAGGCGCCTGCTGGGCGTCCACACGCGCATTATTCATTGGCAAGAACGTATACTTCGATTTATTTATAATGGCACTTGACGTTTAATCAGCTGTTACAATGTCATCCTATCGGGAGCTTGAACGTCATTACGGTGACACCGTAATGACGTTCAAGTTCCCGATTGGATGACACGGTAACAGCCTCAAATGCCACTACAAGTAAATCGAAGTATTGGAAGAGACACGTATCATATCACATCCGTGGCAGCACTGTGGGATGGCGGAAACGGTGAGAGGACTAATCGATTCAATACATTTTTCTCTCCCTCCCTTTTCGTATCCCAAGGCGACGAACAGTGCAATAACTCAACAGAGCTTTTGATATTCAGTCAGTGAAGAGGGCATACCTAGATAGTGTATTCTTCTTTCTCTCTCTTGACATGATTGTTTTGATAAGTCAGCTGTGATGATCTATTCTGAGCTTCTCTAGTAGAATTGTTAATATTTTTGAGTGGTATTAAAAATTTAGGCCGTGGAATTCAGAGGGTATTGGCAATACTTCTTTCCTCCTCTCAAGAATCTTACACGAGCCGCCACCGGTACGTACGTTGTTGATCGCAGACATCGTGTCGTCGGGCAAGAAAGGCGATTTTTTCGGCAGTTTTATCACAAATTAGATTTAATATCGTCAAAACTACTTCGACCACAATATTGTTGTGTCATTCTGACAACAGCAAAAACATTAAATAAATGGAGCAGTTGAGACAAGCGGCTGCTGTTTCTGCTTCGTACCAAAGTCCGGTTTGAGGAATCTTTGGAAATACCGATCAGTCAAGAGAAGGTACTGTACAAAAACGCAATAATAAAAACTAATAGAAATGGTGAAAAAATCTTAACATATCTTCACTGCAACCTCGGGATGACGCTGATGTTTTTTACTTGAAACAACCGTCAATTGAAAAACCTGTCATCAGCATTGGAGAAGACGTAGATCTTTCTGTTATTTTAATAAAACTGACATTGAACTAATTAGAAACAACCAACTTTTGTGAGGTAGATGTATTCCTCAGAAAGCATCCTGACCTGTCCTGTCCCTCATTCTAGTGTGTTGGCTCCGTAAATTTACAAGCCACACGGATGCCACGGTACGGCCAGGACCCCGGTCGGGAGGTATGCATCTGGCTTGATATCTCGCGACTGGTTGCCCCTTTTCCAGTTACTGAGGTCTAGATAGATCTAGCGCAGCAGCAGATGCAAAGACTTACTTCAAAGTGGGGTTAATCTGGGTCGACTAGCATGGATATATGTATTTATTCTTTCTTTTGATTGAATGACGGAATATTTGTGTTTAAGAAAGTGCAGCCAAATATCGTTCACTTAGTTTATTTGGCTTTACAATTTCCCCCTCTTTTTTGTCTCCCCCTCTTATTAATTCTTCGAAATTACACAGGGATTTTTATTTTAGTTGACATGACACAAAATACACCGTGTCTTTTCACGGATATGCAAAACAGGCCTTAAATATACTACTGTCTAATGAAATTTCTCTCTGACTCTGATATATTTCAATTCAATCTTTTTACAACTGGGGTCCTGATTTCGGGTAATGGTTTCCGATTCTCCGACCAGTGGGCGGCGGTCGCTTTTGACGTACCGGTTGCGGTATGATTGCAGCGAACAAATTATGCCTTCCGCCACATCACACAACGCAATGCCAAAGCGGGGCGGCGGCAAATTGTTGCCGCTGCAGCTGCACTTCATAGTTCACTTGTGAATATGCGCGATTCTGAATTAATTTGCGGTATCGTTAGCCGAATTGCTTAACTTCACCACGTGAAGTCACGGAAGTTAAACAATTCGAGACAGCACGGATTCCTGTTAGGGTGACAGTCTGGGAGCCCAGATTACTAACGGCGCCGAGACCCTGGCGGAGGGACGAAGGCACTGACTGCAACGTGACGAGAAAAAAAAGTTGACTGAAAAGTTGACTTTCAATACACTCAATGCCCAAGAAGGGTTAAAAAATGTGTTGCGTAGATGCAACAGTCCAAATTCAGATAACCTTTCGCATCAATCTAGCGCACGAACTACTATTGTCTGATGAATTTGGGTGCAGAAAAGGTTTCTGAACATTGCTGTGATACCTCGCCTCTCTCTCCACATGCCCATCTTTTCATCTCTCCGTGTCTCCTCGCAGCTCACATTTCGTCGATCTCTCGCTAGAGATACTCTGAACCATGCTGGTAACTTAGTGATGTGATTGCTGGAGGATGACGTAATAGCATATTCGCAGCTGAAAAGTTCCAATGGCATTCAGCTGCAGCCGTATGGAAATTGCGGACCAAATAATCCCTTGATCTTTCTCGCGAAACTTACTTTCTAATTCTACATGTAAATCGCCCAAAATACCAACCCTGGAAAGAAAAAGACTGATTGAGCTGGTAAGAGCTTTAGGGGGAGGCGCCACCACCACCACCACCACCACCACCACCACCACCACCACCACCACTACTACCACCACTACCACCGCAACGCTGCTGTCCTGCTTTTCCTTGTGGTTTAATGAAAATCATCCAGACTAACTCCTCGTATACCAAAATGAATAGCAAAGAAAGCAATAGAAGTGTCAAAATTTCAAGTTCAGAGTTGTACAATATTAGCTGGGAAAATGGAAGGACATAAAGTGGTAAGAAGAGTATAATTCATTTAATCAACGAATGATTCAATTGAATGAAACCCAATTTTAATCAAACCTCATTTCGAACAAAATATGACTACATTAAGTGTGAAAAATTTGGGAGGCGGTTGTTTTTTAAAACTAATGGCTATGAAAATGTGCGAAAATTGTTCGACTCTTACCTGAAAGGGGATGAGGTAGTTAGTCCGAAATTTACGTATGTCCTTCTCTAGATCGGTCCGCATTTTACATATGGGTTAAACTCTAATTTTGCTTCAGATCTGCAATTTACAAACCCCGTCAGCTGCACGCGGCTGGAGGCCAGTGGGCGACTGCGTGTCAAGGGGTTGGGGATTCGTGAACTGTATAAATTAGAGCTTTATAATTATTATAATTATTATGTAACGACTTATCTATGTTATTTTAAAGGTTCTTTATTTCAAAGTTATCTGAGTAACTGCCACAATTCATTTTAGCTCTGATGTCCCTGTTTAAATACACAAAAATGTTATGCCTTTTGTGTTACCGTTCGGTATTTTAATTCATTTTTGTTAATTTTAATATTTAAGTTTCTATCAGTTGTAATTTTATGTTTTTCAGTTTCCGCCTAATGATGAAGTCACAATTGGGCCAGGAAACGTTGTAGCCACCTATATTCCACATTAAATTGTCTATTAAATGTGAATATTTTATGATATTTGATTGTCTATAAGTCTACTAGAACCCTATCTTCATTCTTAAAAATTAAAGTCGATACACAAGTTTAAGTGTCAAGTAAAATAATTTGTGCTGCGTTGATTTTAACAATGATATTTAATTTATTAGTTACCATTTCAACTGTATATTCTAAAATACAAAATGGTGTCCGGGTGACGCCGAAGATGGTTAAAACGTCAGCAATTTAGCTTTTGACGCGACGTCACTCGAAAAGCCAAAATCATTCAAAAATAAACCAAATCAAATTTTATCTCTTTACATTGCTGCTACAGTGTTGTAGACCGTTGTGGAAGAGTACTGATGAAATAACTATATTCTTCAAGGAGGATCCCTGCTAACATTTCGTCATTTGTGCCGGTGTCGGGAACCAAGCTCTGTGATGTCACGGAAGTTAAGTAGCTCGAGTAACCGCGTGTTACCGGTTTGGTGACCGTCTGGATAACCTAGATGCTAACGGCGCTGAGCCTCTGGCTGATAAGAATAAAAGGCAATGACACTGACTTGACTTGACTTGAAGTAAGACTGACTTGGTATGTTCAAAGAGAATCGCTCTACGCGTCCAACGCCGCAAGGGCTTGCAAACACTGTTACGCAAATAACAGAAAAACGTCACGGAAGTTGCTTCGTACTGAATCCTAACATCAAACGGCCAGGTCATGAACTGATCGTTACTGCATATATGCTCGATATTGTGTGGGAGTAAATATTCTAATATTGTTATGCGTGGAGATAATATTTGCACAGAAGTCGTGTAGTCACTTTAATGTAATTATCGAATATTATTTCTATCTATTCTTTCATTTTAATTTGTCTAGTTACTACTCGAATCTGACACCGTGGTACCGAATAAGGAGTCCCCACTAGAGCTAAATCTCACCTGTCACACATCTCCACCTGACCTCACTCGTGCTCACGTTTTCCGCCTGGCCTCCAAAACTCGTATATCACAGGACTCACCTAACCTCACAAAACGTGTTTCTTTGAGACACGAAATCCTCTTTCTTTCAAAGATTTATGTGGGCCTAGAACGTATTGTTTCCGATTTATGCGCGATTGAAATGTGCGTTGCAGTTGTTTCATACGTCGTAATTTGTAAACTTCAATTGTTTTCGTCTTAAATCCGTTTGATGCAGGACTGGGGTATACTTCCCAGATGATGGTTGATAATGATGACTTCTTACCTGTTTAGTCCACTTTTGTTGATCTCGATCAATGGCATATAGTGAAACACCATAGTGCTCTGTGTTGTTGCAACAATAAATTTTGGATCTGTCTGCAGTCATGACCATGGCACTGGAAGGAAAAGCTGCGGCATAAGCTTTCTGAGAACACATAAACAGGAATAACAGAAAATATCTGAAGTGAAAAATTATTATTTGGCCTATATTTATGAGGGAATTGCTCACAATAGTAATAGTATTTCTGTTAAGTACGTATTATATCATTCAAACAATTCAACTTATGTTATTGTCATTGACAAATACAGTAGTGTTGAGATGATTGAATCAATAAATTTATTTCTGCCATTGAAATTTAATAAATGTCTGTTCAATAATTTTTGATTGTTTTTCACTTCGTTAGACGTTAATTTTTATATAAGGAATCAAGGTTTTTAAAAACAATGTACCTGTGATAAAACAATGGTTCATATACTCCATTACTTTTCACAGTATATAACTGCATTGCCGTATCATCTAGATTTCCTTTCCAAAAGTGAAATATATATTCATCCAGGTTACTAAATTCCATGTACAAAAAGGGCCATTCCAGTGGGTTTACTGGACTGGTGAATTTGTCTTCAAGTTCACCTCTCATGTTAAACCGGCAACTGTGGAAAATTTGCAGATGAGAAATAATTAAATTGTATTTGCTCTCATATTCTTAAAAATATAAATTATATAAACTTGATTATTGTACGTGCTTATTAATTAATTTTAATGTAAATATAGTATTCATAAAATAGTGTTATTCAGTTTATCTAAATTATCTGTACACCCATTAGTTCGTGTCTAGATGGCAAAGAATCCCTTGTCCTTTTTATTTCTAGCTCACAATTCTTCGGAAGAAGAAGAGAGGCTGCGAAAGAGAAGCTACTGTAATCGTGCGCAGGAACAGAGCGAATTTTCGACATAAATACTCTAATTACGACATAAATACTCTCGACATAAATACTCTCTCGGGCCGTGATAACAAAGTGGCTAAATTCTATTGCTTGGAAAATAGTAAATTACTTCCTCTTGCATGTGGTGTTACGTAGCCAGAATCCATGTTTTGTGGGTCCTTAATAACGAAAAACCGATTGACGGCAAAACGTGTCTTTCAATAGGTGCCTAAAGGCTTCAGCCGATTTTCTCCAAAATTGATCGATTGAAATGGACTCGAGACTCTCTGAGTTTGAAACAGGAATTTTAATTTTTGGGGGGGACTTTATATGAAGCATCAACAATTTCAATTTTTTTTAAATGTCTCCAGTTTTTTTATTAAAAGTTGTCCTCGGGTGGTGTAAAGGATTCTTTCGTAACCCCAAGTCTCACTTTGGTCAGCTGTTTTCAATCAGTGTTCATCAGTGGTGCAGGTCTCATTTTGCTTAAAATCATTTTTTATTTGCCAGACTTCAATTGTTTCTTCACGCTACTACAATATTGAACATGGAGATTTTTATTAGAGATGAAATCTGTTGTTTAAAGAGAGAATTTGAAATAAGGGCATGTTCAAATTTTTAAAGACATGAGCAGTTTTTGCATAATTTTGCGTGAAATATAGGCATTTATTTTTTTCTCAAAAACGACTCCAATTTTTTTATCTTTAAATTTTCCCCTCGGTTTCCCTACGTGAAGTTGCGAAGTATCTCGAACACTGCGGTTCCTAGATAGGTGACCGTCTGGGAACACATGGGATCTAATAGCGCCGAGCCCCTGGCCGAAGGACCGAAAATCAATGACTGACCACGACAACATTGCTGATTGACTCATCTTCGATAACATTACTGACGGAGTTTTCTTGATACCTATGGCCTTCCAGAGATATTTGCTCTTGGCTTCCACATTCGCCGTCAATATTTGCCGTAACAATGGTCTGTTATTTTTATCCGTTATTTGAGACCTTGCCTGGAGAGGGAATTCGGAACCCGATTACAAAATGGTGGGATTTATGGAATGATGATAAAATATTCGGTAGTATTAGAAAAAATTACTGGTTTTGATTGCGAACATTCTTTGATTATTCATTCCATAAAAAAATTGTTGAGTCGTTTTGTCAACAGCTTTGTTGATCTATAATATCATTTGCTATTTTTTAGAGTTAAAACGTTTTTATTTCTGAAATATGTTTATGGATTATGTGATACATGGCCACCACTACACCTTCAGGTAAATTACTCTAGTAGAAAATATTACCATGTTCCTGCTCCGTGCAAAAACAAATGAGCGTTCAGAAGGAATACGCCTGTAACTTCTTCACTCCCCATCATAGGGTTTTCAATGATCACAAATTCACTTGTCAATGTGTTAAGGAGCACAGTCTAAAAACAAGAATATACGAACAGTTAAATATGTCATTAAGATGCACAGTCGTGATATATTTCATTTCAGTTAAACCTACCTGATTGTTATTTGTGAAGGCTGCAGCAAAGCGGTTATCTGGGCTAAGCACCAATTGTTGCATTATGCCTTCAAGACCTGGGTTAACCTCTCTTGTTAAGTCACTTGTTGATAAATCCCAAGTTATTAGTTTATTAGATATTGATACTATGTAACGATAATCAGATGTTAAGCAGAATCCAAAAACTGCAAATTGATGTCCTTCCAGTGAATACTAAAATCATGAGAGAAGATTGTTGATTTTAAGTGTGTTTTATTACCAAATGTATTTATGTACAATTTATGTCTATTGTATGTGAATTATTTTATGTAATTTGTATAATATTTATAGCTTTGGAAAGTATACATTCTGTTTCATTCCGATTAGTATTGCCTAAGCCGGGCAGATCGGGTTCTAGTATCGATTATTCCCGCTGGCTTGCCTTCGCAATCTCAGAGGGCGAGCGTGCAAGGGGTTGCAAGGTTTCAAGGGATTGAAAACTACACGTAGCTCCTTGCCCAAGGATCGGATTTCGGGACTATCAGTACCGCTCGATCTCGGCTGTTCACGCCTTATTTCCTGGTGGTTTCGGCGTGTTTTGCTCGTGAGAAACTCTACTAGTTCTCTTATGAAGGGAGGAATATTTTTTTAAATACAGAATTTTAATTAATTTCAAAAATAAGATTAATTTAAAACAATTTCATAAAAATGTTGATCCTCCCCTACTTTCGCAATTTTGATTGCACAATTTCGCGGAGGTTTGCAAACGCGCCTTGTGCGATCGAATTTTAATTCAGTTTTCGTGAAGCATGCAATACTAGTTTGTACATATAGTTCATATACCTCCCTTATTGAAATTGGAATAAATAATGTTTAAGACTCTTAATAGAAGCGCTTGAGAGAAAACGCTGTCGAGATATCCTGTGCCTCCTCCAACATTCGTTATCCATCATTGGATTTTTGTCCGCCTACGCGGTGGGCACATCCTGATAACAGGTCTAGTGTAGGTATCATTCGTTCTCGAGAACGACAGTGCCGGAAATAGCATTCTCGGGCATAGCGGTCTCAGTGCGATGGTCTCGTCTCCGAGAACGATCGGCACTGAGCGTCTTTGTGTCTAGCTTTACTAGGCTCTAGTAGCTTGGGACAGGGCATTCTATTTTAAAAATCGGCTACAAAGAACACTTATTTAATGCCGTAGTTTCTTGGTTAGATGTGTTTCAAATCTGGTTTCGGGGAACTCTTCGTGATCAGTTTGATTTTGAAGAAGGAAAAATGTTAATGAGTTGAAATAACAAACAAAATATTATGCACTTTTCATTTCACAGATAATAACTTGTAGACGCTAGTGACAACGAGAGAATGAATATATATTTTCCGTGTAACAATAATTATTGTTCATTCTCATGGATGACACAAACATTAAATGTTCATCAAATTTACGCTGAAAACATAAATGAAGTAGATTAAAAATTAATATGAAGTTAATAGTGTATAAGAGGTAAGCGCGAGGATCGAGCTTGAAGACCAAAGCCTTGAGGCCTGAGACTCCTGACTTGAAACTCCAGATCCGAGTCCTCTGAGTCGTCAAACCCGAGTCGTCAAACCCGAGTCGTCAAACCCGAGTCGTCAAACCCGAGTCGTCAAACCCGAGACCTCAAACCCGAGACCCCCAAACCTGAGACCCCAAACCTCAGTCCCGGGAACCCAGATCACAGAAGTGAGATTGACATCTCAGTCCCGAGCTCCCAAGCCCGGGAGCAGAGCATTCACACAGCAGAGACCCCAGATCCCCGACCATGGATCCGATTCATGCGACCATTATTCATGTCGTGACCCCCGTGTGTCGGCTACCTTGAGCGGGCCGCCCGGCGTGTGCAGGCAGTGGTAGTAGGGCAGCAGCGCGCAGTGCTGGGGCCCCGTGCGGTCGCACTGCTGCAGCAGGCGCTTCACGTTGAGGTTGGGGCCGATCTCCGGCAGCAGGCGCGACACCAGCTGCGGCGCCAGCATGTCCGGGTACACGCTGAGGATGGCGCCGCCCAGGCGCAGCGCGTCCGCCACCAGCAGCATCTCCCTGAACACACGCACGCTCACGCCTACACACGCCTACACACGCACGAAGACACACGCTCGCGCACGCCACGCTCACGTACACGTACGCCCACAAACGCGCACATCCACTTCTCGCGGCAACAGGGGACAGCGGGGACAGCGTAGGTGCGAGGACCTAATTAACTACCGAATGTTTTCTCGGAGCATGGCACTTGACAGACCATCCCCTCTAGAGCCGAAGGTAATGGAAGGGGCGTCCTATTCCTTTTATCTCCCATGGGACAAAACATTATGTCGTGTAAGCTCGTCAACAGTATCTCGGGTAGGCTTCAAATTCAGGAACATAGAAAAAAGTAAGCGTACTATATTTGAACCTTTAGGAAGTGGAAAGAGCCCTGAGAGAAGGCAGTCTTTTGGCCCGGACACAGTGGCGTAGCGTGAGTGTCAGCCGCCCGGGGCGGAAGAAAATTTCGCCGCCCCCTCATTAAGGTATTTCAATTTGAAGGTGTACAATGTTCAGTAATTCTAACGAACGTTTCGGCAATATCAATCATTATTGTTGTGTATTGTACAGGTTACAAATAAAAAGTCATGAACATACGTTTTACAGTATAATAATCACATTTATTTGTGTTCGATTCGTAAAAGAAATTATTGTAGAGCGTTTTAAAATAAGTACTAATAAATGTTTAAAAACTATAATTTACTTTACTGAAATTTACTTGTTCTGATTTAATAAAATTGTGATAAATTATTTAAATAACAATTTTCTTTTATTTTAAATATTATTATAACAATTTTCAACAACGTTCAATAATTTAATAATCACTACACGCACTTATGAGTACTAAAATCACAGTTTCGAAAGCGCATACGATTAAGTTAATGTGAATTGGACGACTGATGATCCATCAATGAAACTTTCTTTGAATTGTCAAAACATCACTCACTGACCTCCCTGAAGGGACTTATCCATACTGCAATCTAATTTGCAGGTGTTTCTATACAACATTGAATACGATTCTTTCTATGATAGAAGTCAGTACAGAAGATGTTGTCAGACGTTACAGTTAGTAAGATATCATTATAGGCTATATGGATTTAAAGAAGTCGTTGCAGAATAAGTATTGAAAGAATACGTGCTCATTTCAATCGGTAGGTACGACAAAAATATAAAATGAAACGGTTCAAATGTTTACAAGATATTATTATTATTATTATTATTATTATTATTATTATTATTATTATTATTATTATTATTATCATTATCATTATCATCATTATCATCATTATCATTATCATTATCATTATCATTATCATCATAATTATTATTATCATTATTGCTATTTATTGTTAAATTTTGCCACCAGGAGCGGGCCACTCCTGACGCCCCCAATACACTACGCCACTGCCCCACACCATTAGACGTCGCTGACGCTGGTTCTTTGCAATGCATACCTTACTCTGTCCTTGTCTCCTATGTGCTGACAGGCATCTTCAAAGTCGCTCAGCACTGCTTGCAGAGGGCAGCTAGATAGCTTTGCATGCAACCATTCGTAGTTGAACAACACGTTCTCGTAAAGATCTTGAAACCGTCTTGCACGTACAAGATGATATGGCATTTCTCCAAACTAGAAATTATACAATTCAAAGATATTAGTTGTTAATTAAAATAATTTATCAGTGAAATAATTATCAATTTCATAAATTTAGACTTATTGCATGTGCCATATGGCGTACATATTTCCATTTCCATATTAAGATATTGTGTGAAACTGTACAAACTGACACATCAGATTGGTTTCTTGCTTCTCAGACACCCTGTTCTCTGATCATTTTATTTACCCAACATTGTGGCCATAAATTGCGACTGTACTTAAGCTGCCACGGAGTAAAAAAGAATACAAAACAAACTAGTGGGGTGAAATCAGCACATATTTCTAGTGTGACGTCATGGATACTCACAGCGACCACAGACACAGAGCTTTCATATAACAAATATATTTATTAACAAAGAAAACAAAACAAATATATACACTTAATAATCTACTTACACCCTAGCTCTGATAGACCTACTATCCCCTGATCGCGGGAGCGATCCAAACCAGATTGAAGATGGTTTTGATTGTGGCATTCGCCACTCCTACTTTTGAAGCGCGCACAAAGCCTAGCTTCCGTGACCGGATGTCACGCTGGGACACAAAGTCCGTTCTGGCGCACCAACGGCTGGTTTGCCTCGATCGCAGGAGCGATCTTATCCGATTGAGAATCGGCGTGAATCGTGGCACTCAACCACTCTTCACCTCGGAGCACGCACACAGCATCGCTCCCCCGTGACCGCAGTCACCCAAGGACCTAAAGTCCGCAGGCTTCGTCAACTAGTGACTCGAGCCTCGCGAGCCTGGCTCGCATTTGCACCGTCGTGGCGCCAAGTTTTGTGCACACGCACGAGGTTCTCCCACTGTCTCCAGAACCCACCCACTGGCTCTGTACACTGTTATATAGGCGAGGCCCACGTGACCTACTACGTCACGCCACCCCCTCGCTTGTTATAACAGTGAAAAGCTTCTATAAGCCGGAAGACGCCAAAACCTTGTGTCTCCCGTTTCCGCGTTCATGCCTTTACGGAAAAACCCTTCTTCCTGTGGCGAGGCTAATCCTCTGCCACGCGTCCCCTAATAGATGCCATGAGGCACGCTGGCTAATACGTTACACTAGCTATATTTCCTCTTTGCGATTTTGGAAGATTTAGAGAGATCGACGACAATAAAACGCTATCCGACGACGACAATAAAACGCTATCAAAAAAATATCCTACGCTAATCTGCGTATCGTCTCTTGTTCTATCCGTGAAAAAAAAATTAAAGAAAAAAATTGGAGCGGTATTTTACGAGTAGAAACGTTTTCAGCAGACATTAGGTTATAACTGCTTTGTAAATAATGGTGCATTACCTTTTCTAAGGAACTTTAAAAAAAATTAGTTGCGTCATTGACGCAACCCATCTCTTAAACCCTTATTGGGCGATGAGCGTTTTAATGGAAAAATGCTCCTTTACTTTCTTCTTCATATCTCGTCAAGTCGCAGTCAGTATCTTTTATCCCTTCGGCCAGGGGCTCGACGCCGGTAGATCCCGGGGTTCCTAGATGGACACCCAACCAAAACCCGCGGGTCTCGAATTCACTTAATCTCCGTGCCTTTACGAAGCGTAGTAAACGAATTCGGCTAACGACGCCGACTTTCGCGCCCTTATTTCGTATGAAGAGAAAGCAGTGTGATTGTGCGCCGGAAAACGGCGAATTTTCAACAGAAAAACTCTTATTTCTGGGCCCTGGTAACAAAAAAGTGGAAAAATCTTGTTCCCATAATACAAGTATAATAAATTGCTTCCTCAAAGACGTTGTGTAGACAGAATCCATGTTTTGAGTATCCTTAACACGAAAAAATCAATTGACGGCAAAACGTCTGTTCGTCTATGGCCGAAGTTCGCGCTACACCGTTTAGCGGATTTTTTCCAAAATTTATAATGCTCATCAATTTAAAGAAACTCAAGACCCTCTGAGTTTGAAACGAGTATTTTGAATTTTTGATGTACTTTACCTGAAGCTTCAACATTTTCAAAATTTTCTTCAAAATAGCTCCGTTCTTAAAAAAAAACTTTCTTCTCGGATATCGAAAAGAACGCTTAGGAGAATCAATCAGGTCTCATTTTCGTTGACGTCCATAATTTTTTTAAAAATAATTGTAGAAGTTCATTTTTTCCGCGTCTTCCTGCAACTATAATATTAAAGATTGACACTTTTTCTAAATACAATTAAGTGAATGTACAATTTTCTATATATATTGAGTAGATTTCGGGTTATTTTTGTTGGAAATACGGTAATGTTCAAGTTCTTTTAACATTATTTTATCAGAAATGGCTCCAACGTTTTCTAAAAATTTTCATTTCGTATGTATCAAAGGACGGAACAAAATTGGTGCTAGTCTCATTTCCGGCAAACACTCTATATTTTCGAAAATTGCAAAAAAGGTAACAATTCAAAACTAGAACGTTAAAGATAGCGACTTTTGCTTTATATAAAATCTCTTCTAAAAAATCAGGTCCTTAAAAAAAGTCATGTATATTTTTTTGACAACAAGTTTTTGTTTAATTGTTTCAAATTTATTTTCTTTGATGATTTCTTTGATTTTAAGTAATTCTCCAAAACCGCTAAAAAATTCTTTAAAATTTGTCCACAGATAAAAATGCTCTTAACTTAAAGAAAGGCTCAATTTCTCTTGCAAATTTACAAATAATGCGAGAATGTATGAGATGTAGCACCACTACTTCAGGACGGATTTTCTTTACGAAAAAATATCGTAAATTTTATGCTTTTTATATTTTTGAAAATTAAGACAGTTTATCGTAAATACGAAGAGGTCCACATATTTTACTTTTCTTTGATGCAAATTAGGAGAAAATTTAAAGAAAAAATTCGAAGCCGTTTTTGAGAAAATAATTGTTTAAAAATTACCTATTTCATACGAAATGACACGAAAAATACTCATGTTTTTGAAACTTTGTACACGCCCTTATTTCAAGATCTGTCTGTGAAAAATAGAGTTTTTTCAAGAAAACATCTCAATCTCCAATATTGTAGTTGTAGAAAGACGACGAAAAAATTTCAAATATTGCAATTTTTGAAAAATCAAGCATTTTAACAAAAATTGTTCATGTCCAAATGATTATTTTAACTGCCCTTTACGTTCCCCAAGTATAAAATTTAATACAAATTTTGAGAAAATGTTGAAAATGTTGAGTCATCATGTAATGTACCCCAAAAAATCAAAATATCCGTTTCAAACGCAGACTCAGGTTCCTTCAAATTGATAGTAATGACCATAGATGGACAGATTTGCCGTCAATCTATTTTTTGGTATCAAAGACAAAACATTGGATTCTGACTATACAACGTGTTAGAGGAAGTGATTTACTCTTATAGGAACAAGATTTATCCACTCTTTCTTTAGCAGGGCCAGGCAATAAGAGTTTTTCTATCGAAAAAATCTCCGTTTTCTGGCGCACGATTACAATATTTTCTTTTCTTACGAAGTAAGGGTGAAAAGGTGAATATCAGCCCATGATCTTCCAAATGCCATAAAGTGTTCCCTAAAGACCAGTAATTTCTGAACCACTCTAATCTCCGTGTCTGTGTGCAATGCAGCCTAACAATGAATAATCTTACAAAAGCAGCGCGTGTCAAATAACGAGTCGTTGCTAGCACAGGCACAGACTGCGCGCGGTTCAATTGTAGCCCATTGTAGTGAAATTGTTAAATTGTTCGAAGCATGATTTTTAAAGTTAGAGTTCCAGCTTTTATTTACAATTGAAAGGATTTTTGATTAAAAATATGCATAAAGCTACGCTATTTGAAAAGTGTTTATTTCTATGATTTTAACGTAAAATTAGCCATATTCTAACGTGACACACTGAGTTATGTTTATGATCAGGAATTGTTGTGGGATATTGTGAGTAACACCTCAGTAAAAAAATCAATTGAAAAATACTAATAAATAATATTTACTCATTTTATCATGCAGATTCTTTTTTGCGCAAGTTGGTACATTTCACCTTTTTTTTTTTTGTTCAAAGAAATTCAGTTTCTTTGCTGCACCTATACTGGAGAGCTGCAGCAGAACATAACTCAAGTGAGTGCGGTTGTTTTTATCGCTCTCTTTTTGGCAACTGCGTGGGTGGCGGAGGTCTCATTGTGTCACCGATACTCACTGATGATAACAATACAACTTCGACATCACTGATAAGCCCTGCCCTTAGCACGCCATACTGCTTCCACGGTTCGTTTTCCGTCCGAGGACAAGCTCTCGAGCAGTCGCCACCATTGAAGCTCCACAACAGCACAATCTAGGGAATTTATGTGCCCTATGTTTTGGGGGAACGTGCCGTATGTCTTGATTGAACAATTAAATGAAAATTATTGGCATATAAGGGCAACATCGAAGACATTTTGATCCCGTCCACCCAAGAATTTGTAGAAGTTCACAGAGTGTCCCTCACTCAAATCCCAAACCCACAATTCAGTGATGGGTCTACAACAGCTTGTACAATTTCACTTACCAATATTAAGAAGAATTAGAATAAAATAAAGAAGAGTCACCTTCCTTAAATTGTAACGAGTTACTTTTCCATCCTTCGAATAGAATACTAAGGGTTGTACTGGCACTTTTCGGTCAGCTGAGCCTTCTTTGTCCGTTAGATTGAACCTTTGAAAAAACGGGAACATAATTACAATTTGATTTTTTAATTCATATTTGGTAACCTACAAAATATTTTTTTTAGATATCAAAATTGTAATTGGGATTCACTTTACTGATTTTTCACTCACTTTAATGACCCAGATAAAAATTAAATTTCATCCGCTATCGCGATTCAAGTCCCAGACGTTCGAACAGGTGGGATTCCATTTTAAACTAACGGAGCTTCAGCAGCACATACGTACTTTCTCGGCAGATTTAATGTTCACTATATTTCACTGACAAAAAAATCTGTACCTCCAGTAATGTTATAGGAGGGAATTTCAAACTTTTGCAATGTTCAAACTTAAAAGGTTTTATTGAAAATCGGGACTGCGGACTTTTTATAAGGGTGCTTTGCTCAATTTGAGAAAAAAATTTGGGAAAAAATAGACACATTTATGTGCTTAATTTTACTACACTAATGCATTAAATGATCCGACTCCAATTGGAGCGTTCGCAATATCTTCAATATCGATCAGAGAATATCAACTTATGTGAAAATCCTGGATACAGTGGTCGCAGGCTACGGACATTGAGACGTATTGAGAAAGAAACGAACATGTTTTCGGTACCAAGAGCTCCCAAAATCTGGATTCTGATTACCCTACTTGTACGATCAAATAATTCACTACGTAGCGGATCAAGAAATATCCACTTTTTCGGTATAATTTTTTTTCGAAACACTGAAATTCCAACTCAAGTCCTTTAAGTTAACGTGCCAGGAATATTACCCTTCCACCGCTAGCCGGACGGCTAAACTAAACGTTCCCGACGCTTAAAAAACTAGTGGTTTCTTGCATTATTTCTATTTTTTACACTTGATAAAATTCAGGAATTAACAAAAACGAGTCCTGCGCCACTTTTGACCGTCCTTTACACTATCCCAAGACTAAACTTTCAAGAATACTGTACAGTGTACAGTCGTTTTTTGGAAAAAAGGTTGTTTTAATTTCAGTAACTTTAAGCAGAAATTAATCAACAATTTCTACTTAGAAAAACATAATCTTAGAAATTAAAAATTACAGCTTTCAATTTTAAAGGTCTAATTTTTACTTTCTCGTCATAATACGTGCGTAGTAAAGAAAAAACGTATTGTAGTGCAACGACAGAAATTGGCGATTTTTCGAAACAAAAACTCGTAGATTCGAGCACTGGTAATATAAAAAGTGGATAAGTTTTTTCTCTTGATATGTAGTAAATTATTCTGTGGCATTTTCTTCATACTTTTACGTCTTACTACAAGTATGTATTAAAGAAAATGTTTTGAAATTAAATGGTGGATATAAGCGAATTTTCGACAGGAAAACTCGTATTTTCGGACACTGCTGTCAAAAAAGTGGATAAATCTTCTTCTCGTATACATTAAATTATTCCTTTAACACATATTGAAGTTAGTATTCATGTTTTGTGGGTCCGAAAAATCGTTTGACTGCAAAACTTCTGTCCGTTTGTCCGTCCATCATGAGGTCTGTCCGTCCGGCCCTCCGTCCGTCTCTCTGTCCGTGCGTGTCTGTCTCTCCGTCCGTCTACATGGTCCTCTACCTGTCCGTCTGTCTGTCAGTCCGTCTATCTGTCCAATTGTTTGTCTATCTTATCTGTCCATCCGTCTGTTTCAAATTGTTTTCAAAAATAATTCCAAAGATTCTTATCAAACTTTTTCCTCAGATAGCGTATAAAACGTTTACAAATGACGCAGATCTACTTTTCATTGAGATGTGTCAATTTAAAAAAATTCAAATGTTATTTTTTTTAATGTTTAAAATTTGGATGGACTGACACGTGTGATCCACTTTTTTGTTACTTTTTTGTCAATACGAGTTTTTCTCTCGGAAATTTGTCAATATTCCGCCGCATACTTTCCATTACCACATAAATGTGAAGAAGCCAGAAAGTACAAAAGACCAACTGTTTTCACAATTGCTTACCTGTGCCTCTGTATCTCAGTGAATTTAAAAGGCTTTGGATTTCCGCCTCCCCAGATGCCCAGGTAATAGTCAGCGATTGATGAGTGGAAGTAGGTTGCGTTGTTTAGATTTTTGAAGTAGCGTTCCTTGGCTGTTTCTCGGAACTGTCTGAAATAAACAAAGAATTTAAAATTTATCATTGGGAACTCACTTAACGAAAATAATGAATATTTTAAGTTGAACGAAAAATAGTCAATTTTGATCAAAAATACAAAATTTAAAATTCTTCTATCGGTATCTGAGAATCTAAAAGAAAAAATCCAAGCATGGGCTAGAAGCATTAGACGTTACAAACGTACAGTAGATTTCCATGCACAGAATCGATTGTTTGAATCAGACGAGAAGAGATACACTAGCAAATGACTACGATTGCAGTCTGACTCAAAAACTGAATGGCAATGCTGTCCTTCCTTCAAACGACGTCGAAAAAGTTTGGAAAGGAATCTGGGAAGAAAGCAGATCCTACAACGAAGACGTATCTTAGCTCTAATCTGAAGTTGATGCTCCTGACAAACTTGGTGAAATAGTGAAACATGTTCACGAATTATCGGAAGAAGACCTCTTCCTAGCAATTAAGAACATTGGAAACTGAAAATCCCCCGGATCTGATAAGATACAGAATTATTGGATTAAGAAATTGCCACCATTATATTCTCATCTAGCAAAGGCAGATAATAAAAGTTTAGAAAAAACAATGGAACTCACGGAATGTCTCCCTCTCGGTATCAGGAGTCTGCTTCATAAAATGGGAGGAGGTTATTTGGCAGAGAACTGCACACCAATCACTTGTCTGCTAGTAATGTACAGTTATAACTGCAGCCATAGCTAACAAATTGTACAGACATAACTAACAAAGGTTCCCATGGCTGTAAGGAAATCTTGCTACTAAATAAAGTCATCTTGAATGATGTAAGAAAACGAAAAACGTTTTGAAAACGGTTTGAATTGAGTGTCAGATGACTTGAACTATTTTGAATTGAGTATCGACCACGAAGTTTTGAACCTGTAGCTTAAAGAATAACACAGAAAATGTATATCTCAACTTTTTTTTTACGAAAAAAGTGGACTTATTTCGCTTTTAAAATCACCGTTTGAATTGTAGTCGTTCTGAGGAGAAGAATTGGCTGGCTTCTCCTATAGATAGTTTTCTCCGATCGATACCAGGCGAATGCCGGGGCAGTGCCCTAAAAACGGATAAAGGGCCGAGCGCGACCATTCATTTCTATCCATGGTTGAATCTCGAATGATGCACACATACACCGGGAGACATTCGGGAGCTTCGAGCTTATCCCGGTTGGGTCTGTGCACATCGAAGGGAGATACCTGGAGGAGGGGAATTCTCTCAAGTCGATGTATCGGTCGGCGCGGGTTTTCAGCATCTCGTGGGAAGGATCACAGCCACCTCCCGGAAAAAGAACATTTCTATGGTCATCACTGCCGGTAGTGAAGACCATACCAGTTGACGTCAATCCATCAGTAACACTGGCAGCAGTTTCCCTTTGAGTTTGCGCACGCCCTCTCACCTGTGGTACCAGTTCATGACGCTGACGCCGTCGGCCTCGCGCTCCGACAGGTAGTTGGGCAGGTCGTTGCGGATGCGCGTCCACAGCAGCGGCGGGATGCGGCGCACGGGCGGCAAGTGGTACTGGTACACGTCGTCCAGCACCTTGTCGTCCAGCGAGATGAGATCCTCCAGCTCCGACTCGGACAGCCCGCTCTTGGCCGCCGTGATGTAGGCCAGCGCGTGGAACACCAGGATGCGCCCGTGCTGCAACACGCCCAGCTCAGTCGTTCGGCAAAACGAAGGAATATTATGGACAATTTTCGCGTCGGATCCCAATCGTAACGAGTTGCTTCAGCCGTTACGAGAGCAGTGAACGAAAACGAAGAACGAGTAATGGGAATAGAGCATTCTGGTTCGTAGTTCAGATGAGAATGGTGCGGTTTAATTAAACTAGTGGTGCTACAACAGCACGTATTATCATGCATGTTCCTTGTAACGGTTACGCAATATTATATTGTATTAACCTGCATAAGTGTTTACAACAATCAGAAACCGACTGAGGAGGGTCAAGACATTAATCCAAGTCACTACAGTATCTGTGACCGGGTGGCTCTAAGGTTCGATCCCCGACGGTGGTAGGATTTTTATTCATAGCTAGGTCGATTTCAGCCGCTGTCTGGAGGTGAAATCTGGCGGCCAGCTACTCTGGTAGTTTTCGTGGATGAAGACCCAACAGATGCTGGATCAGTACCCTAACAAACGAGCCGCTCGTGATCTTTACGTCCTCTTCCTATCCTCACCCCTTACATGCATTACACTACCACACATGATGGGAGACCAAACGGGAACTTAGAGCACTTCACAGCTGGGGCGGTGCTGGTGGAAAATACCAATAGTGCAACCTCCCAGGGAAACGGTATACTACATTTAAAAAAATTATACATGTTCAAAAATTCCGAGACTTTCATTTGCAATATTTCAAGAGTTAGTTTAAAAGAACAAATTTCATGAAGGCAATATCTCTTTTTTTTACATTTGATATGTTAATTTTTGTAGTTTTCTAAAATGCAGAGTGTTTGCCGAAAATTGGACCAGCACTCTTTGAAAGGCTGACCACAACAATGGTCTAACGATCTCTGAGGTTGAAATTGAGTTTACTGCACAATCTGTTTTCATTAACCATGTACTACGTGGCAGGACCAATAAATATTGAATATAGTAAGTATTTGAGGGTTTACAGCACTGTCACTTTTTATTCTCAAAATAATTGTGACAAATTCTAGTTCAACAATGATCTAACTCAATTCGACCAATTAGAACTGGCCTATGAAGTCACGTGCACAAATAACATTTTGGTAGCACATTATAAAAATACTTTTGGTTGAAATTGTAGAGCACAAATATCTTGTCTCCGAACGCAGCTACTTACCTTGCGAAAGAGATTTTGGCCTTATTGAAAAAACAAAAATGGTCCAGAAATATGTGTGAAGAAACGGTCCAGTAATCTGTCCTTCAGAATGGGTTCCTTTAATATCAGAATCAAGACAAGCATCCATTCAAGGTTAAGAAATGAAGCTACCCGACTTTGTTTCAGCAAAATCAATAGCGGAAAAACTGTGTAATGGAAAATTCACTATAGGAGGAAAGGTTGCAATATATTGTAGTAAACTTTCATGTTTGAAACTTACTAAGAATCATCGATGGAAATACTTCATTAAATATTAACTCTCAGAACACGATAGTTATAGTTCAGTGAATGGCCACAGCCAGAAGGCCACAGCAAGATGGCCGAAACGTCAGCACAATTGACCGACACGCGGCTCCGATCGAGACCAGGCGAATGCCGGAGCAGTGCCCTAAAACGGGTAAAGGGCCGAGCGCGACCATTGATTTCTATCCATGGTTGAATCTCGAATGACGCGCGCGCGCGCGCGCGCGCACACACACACACACACACACACACACACACACACACACACACACACACACACACACACACCGGGAGCCAAGAATGCATTGACTCCGGCCGCGGAAGCCTACGAACCCATGTAGGATAATTATCGGGAGGAAAAGAATTAATCTTCCGCAAACAATATTTATTATTCAATATTATTAATTCACAGCAGACATGCTTCGAGAATTTTAAATCTCATCTTCAGTGCATCTATGGAAAATTAAAAGGAAAGAAGGAAAAAAAGAGTAGATGAAGATATACGGTAAATTCTGTTGATTCACTGAAGATGAGGGTTGAAATCATCGTAACATGTCTACTATGAGTTAATAATTGTTTGAATAATTGTTTGTGGAAGATTATTTTTTTCCTCGCGTCACACTATGCATTAATGAAGTCACGAAAAATTCGTATAATGGAATAAAAGAATAAAGAGTTTGAATAATGGAATAAAGAAAATGTTTCACAGGGATGTATGTTATACAGGTATCCATTTGCAAACGTTCCTGTACCGGAATGTTTGATTTTATTTTCTCTCTTTCTACCATATATTACAGAAAAAGTTATGTAATGAGAGAATGTTATGTAGCGAAGGTGTAGATCAATGGTCAGATCGTAATCTTTAGATCAGAATCGTAAGTAGATTTATTTCGCTTGGACTCGAACGATGTTAATCAAAATCCCTAAATTTTCGAAAATTGCACATGTTCAACATCCTCAAAGCTCAAAAAGATTGCTATTCCGATTCAAGTGATGTGGTGGTTGCACTAACTGCTTGCTAAACTAAATACCTGAGATCGGATTCCAGTTTTGGAAAATATTTCTGTTAAAAATATTTTTACTTTTGTTCAAGTAAATATATAATATTACGCAACCATTACAAATAATTCGAGAAACTATGTGCTACTGAAGTTTCACAAGAAAAAATCTGATAATGCCCACCAATCTCTTGGGGTGCGTCTCTGTGCTTCACGAAGCCGAATGTAGAAGCAAAGATCTGTGTCAACGTTTCATTTGGACGACTTACCTGCTTTTCTATTCTCTCGAACAACATCATAATGGAATCATTTACTGTGGATGCCAAATGCGTGTCTTGAGGTTTTGTGTAGCTTCTCCAACGGCATATTTCGGCAAACACCAATTTCACGAATATTGGCAGTGAGCACTGACCAATAGCATTAGCTACTAATCGCCACTGGTAATTGGTCAGATCCCTGTGAGCAGTTTGCATCCACATCCTGGAAGCAAATATTCATAATTTGTCAGAAGTATGCAAACATCAACGGTGCCATCGAGGTTACATTTGTTCTACCTATGGAGTCATGTAGATGTGACTCTCAAAGCGACACACTTTATGACTTTTCCAACAATCCACTACCCTTTCTACAAAATACGTTACTGTTACGATTATAAATAATATTTAATTTAAAAAAACGGTTTGTAACATAATAGTGCCAACATAACTTTACAGTAGTGTATGAAATGGGCCTGCCAGATTATATTTTAGGGATAACATTTTTTCCATTTTTTGAAAATTCCAATATTCACTGATTTTACATTTTAGTCCATTTTTATTTTCAATATCTCTCATTTTTGCTATTTAAACAATTTTTGAAATTTTTCTCGTTGAGGTCTGTTGAAGTCAACGGATGCTCTCCGATCAGATTCGGACAGAAAAGAATGCAATTTTCAATTGTATACTGTTACCGTGGCGGGGTTCGAAGTAAAATCAAAATAGACGAAATTTTGCGACAATTTGACGAGATATGTTACCACTATCAAGCCGTATTACATTTTTTAACCATTTGACGAGAACTCATTTTCTCAAATATCTTGTCTTCTAAAGTTCAACTGGTATATACAAGAAAGAGTCACGTAACTTTAGCACCACCTGCTATGTTTGAATGGTTCAAATTATTGCAATGCAGTTTTCACGGAAGCGCATGAGGGAATGGGACTGTTTTATACATGAGTTAATTACTATTTCATCACTTGTACTTTAGGAGGTATATAGGTAACTTTGTTTTTTTCAAATGGAACTTAACATACTTTTTAGTCTACCATGACGAGCGTAAAAACACAAATCCAATGCCTCCCTTGTTCTATGTAAGAGGGGATTTTTTTAAAAAATAATTTTGATTTTTTTGCGATTCTTGTTTAACAACCTGAGGATGCGTTAGCAGGTTGAGAGCTGCGTGTCCTTCAGTAGCGGACTGCGCAAAATAATAAAAATTACTCAGAAAAATGCTTATCTAACATATGACAATATCATTGGATTCCACATTTTCCTCTCGTCATGATAGACTAAAAGTATAGGAGTACGAGTAATTCTATTTGCAAAACACAAACTAACCTCAATATATTGTAAAATACAACTGATAAGATGGAAACGAATACATGCAACAGTTAGCACCATTCCCTCCCCAAAATTACAGTAGTATTATTTTAGCGTGGCTGAAGATCGAGGGCTCAGAAGCTGCCGGAAGAGTCCATACCTCTAACTTATCGTTTTAGGGGGGAGCGCGTCCCTTCCCAGCACGTGTTGACAGCTCCACTCCTGTTGTATAAACAGTAACCCTGACTTTTCGTATCCGCGAGATGAACCTTGCTGTTGCGTTTCCTACTGCACTACAGTGAAGCATTCGTAAAGTTCTGTTTAAGTGATTATCCTTCTGTTTCTGATTGTTGCAATGCGTCCGGTGCATAGCAAGTTGCACAAGGAAGTTCATCGTAGTCAGACGCGCGAAGTCGTTGCAAAATAATATCAATAAAGAAATGAATTCTATTGAATTGGGTGAACCGTGTTAATTTTCAACTCAGTATAAAGAGAGGAAGAGGAAGAAAGTGGAATCAGCTCTCGACGGTTTCAATTAAAGAGTGATCCGCCACATAATGATTTAATACACCATATCAAGAAATCGTTATTTTTTACCGGAAAAGGCGCAAACGATAGTAATGACAGTGACAATAATGAAAGTTATGGTAGGAAACGGGTATCAGTGTCAGAGAAAAAGATGTAGATGATGAGGTGAATCTGGTGAATTTGGTGTTTCTCCACTACAGAACGAAGACATTAAAGCAAATTAATTTCCAATAAGTTCGCTAGCACGTGAGGTGCGGTAGCTAATATTTTTGGTATAGGAGACGCGAGCGAGCGCCGCCTCCTGGCCCCACCCCACCTCTTTCAGCTTCCCCCTCCACGTCCGAATCCCAGCGGCCGCCCCAGAAAAAAAATAGCTGTACAGGTGCTAAAGTTACACGACTTACTCTTTACATGGCTAACACGCAAGAGATAAGATTACACAACGTAGATAAAGTAGCAGGTGTATGAAATTGTGACAGGTCGGCATACAAATCGTTGCATCAACTACTCTGCCCCAAAACATTCCACTCCATCCAAAAAAGGGGGATCTCCGAGGGCTCGCCACGCATATGACTTGCACCCCTAGAGGTCACCTGCTGCTCATCCTTCAGCGCGTCTGCCTTTCAAGAAAATCACAGTAGTAATATCTCGGGGATTCCCGCAGCGCACGTAGCCAGCAGCGAAACAGGCGATTTCCCGATGCTTGGGAGTGAGAAATCACAATTACGGAACACATCGACCATGTGACGAAGACGGACCAATTACATGTTGTATGACGCAACGTAACCGACTCGGAAGACAGCGGGCAGGAAATCGGGAGCCGGACTCGGAAGATCAAGGTAAAAGGCAGAGCCCAGCAACTCTCCATCAAAATTGGGGACAAAGCTAGAGGTTGCTACTATAGGATGCGCTAGTGTTGCCGGATACAGCTGCTGGTAATGCTCGTCAACTTTCGCACATAAAAATTGATTAAGAAATACGAGTACACTTTGGTTATGAGCGATTTCTGAAATAAATTACAAAAGAAGTTAAATACTATGTGTTTATCTTCTAAAATTCAATTATACATAATAATACACGCATGAAAGAAAAGGTAGCACGAACAGCGGCGCGATCTTTTGTTTCAAGCGCGTGTGTTCGCGTCCCGAGAACCCACGCACGTTGTAAATAATGTTGGTAGCAGTTCGTATTTTAGTTCGTGTAAGAAGGTGATGCTCTAGAGCGCGTCACTATAATGGGCTCCACCACTTTATATGGGAGTTATAGGGACCTGGTAAAAGGGTTACAATATGATGCAACAGGCACGAAAATTGTCCAGTATTTCCTAACAGATGAGATAACGAAATGTCATCTCTATCTAGTGCCTCTATAAACACGATATTATCACTAATTTCAGTCAGTGAGTGTGTCGTTTCCAGAATAAATCAGTAGGAGTAAATTGAAAGAATGAAATTATATTGTTGTTAAATGTTTAAAAATTATAAGAATTAGTTTTACTATTATGAAGTTTTATAGTTTTCATTGTGATTTTTTCATTAAATCCGTTCTAAAGAAACGTATTCATTGATAGCAATGACTTTTTTCTCTATTTGCAAGGTCTAAAATATTAAACATGTTCTTGAATCCAACTATGTTGAAAGTCATATGTTGAGCTCTCTTCACTATACATTATAAAATATCCAATAACTTTTAATGACTAAAAATTAGATGATTCATGTGTCTACCGAGATAAAATACTTCCTGACGGCAGGGGAAAATATGTATTTGCTCTGAATTCCGCTCTGTACTGATGACGTATGTTGTTTGGTTCTGCGCAAGGGGAGGGTGCGGAAGAATGTTCTTATTTGCATTATAGAGAATAAGCGTGCCATCGCCACTGCCTACTTCAGTGATGTCAGGATTGTTGCCTCCTGTGATATTCGGGGGATCGGGAGGCTCATTGAAATCTCCCGTTCACTGTCGGTTTCACTCCGGTCTCCCGCTGTTCACCACCTCATAAGAGAGCACTAGTGTATGCAACTCTGGAACTTATTTGCAGGATACGATAGGGTGAGATTCAGAAAAAATGAGTTAAAATAGCATTTGTTTTCATTTTTAACATTTTTTAAATTTACATTTGACTGTTCGATTGATCTTTTCTACAGGAACAACATATTTCTTATCCTTCGACGAACATGGTGCTGTAGGCACCATTGCTACGAGTATAATATCCAGAACATGTGTCTTCCAGAGCTGGTGATGGCAGCACTATCGCCTATGGGTGACAGATGCTGGATACCGCGAACTAATGGTTAAATTACCGTGTATGTGTCAATTTTCATTTAGTACGTTGATATCATTCTTCGTTGAAGGATTTCCGTTACCAATATGATTTTAAAACATTTTTGTTACGGGTAGATACACATTCTCGAAGTATAAACACGTGGCTTGAATATTGAAATTAATATTTGAATTCGGCACAGGAAACTTAAAACAATTAATATGATGTTAAATAGGTATGTAATAATTATTTATATTTTAAATAACTACAAATTGTAATTAATACTTGGCAAAATTAGGTACTGTGTTTATGGATTTATTTTCAGATCGATTATTAAAGTTTAATGTAAGTACTATTTCTCTCAATGATAATAAATAATACAATTTTCTAAACTAAATATTTAAAAAGTTGACAGTTTATAAAAATGTATGGAGGGAGTCTCTTCTACTTGAATAGCATAGAGGGCCGCAATTCGTTCACACTGTCCACATCCGATGAAAGGGCACGTGGACACAAATCTTTTTAACATTTCATTTTATTACAAAGAAATACCTTAACATCATCGCTAAGGTCATGATAATGTTTACTTTGAAGCAATTTCGAAATGAAAACGTAGTGACTTGTATGTCTGATTGAATAGTGCTTTTTTACGTCAAGTGTGAAAACGAGATGTACAGCCAGAACCTGCACAATGGGAAAAGAAGCAAGTTTCATTGTAAATAACAAACGTGAGAAGAAACAAATCGCGGGAGCCTCATAGTGTAAGCAAAAACTTGCTCGTAAACTTACTAGAAAACGCTTACTTGCACACCAGCGCTGGCCACCCAACACTTTCCCGCCAAACTTTGTTACGTCATTCTGGTCAACTCTGAAGAAAAATCAGCAGCTCACTACTGATATTTTACATGCATGTATATAATGAAACAAGTATGAATGATGTGTGAATGTAGTGAAAAAGAAGAAAAATATATCTCGTCTGTAAAATAACAAACTCTGTAGAATTATAGTATTAACAACTTAATTAAAAACTGATCTTAGTGTAAGTTAGTAATGCCAAAGTGCAAGTAAGTTAACTTTAGGACTAGTATGTAAAACTTAGCTGTAAGAAAAAGCCCCTCCTCTAGCTGCTTACGCTGCAATGTAAGTGATTTAACGTAAATCAATTCCCATTCTCCACAGTTACTGTGGAGGGAACAAAAGTAAAAAGAAAAAAACTAATATTTTCCTTTTAGGCTTCCGGCAGAAGTTGCACTGGCAAGCTCGTGACACGTCTGACACGCCCCTGTGACGCGAGGCGTTCTACTGCCAGAGGGGGACAACCTTGACATCACTGCTCTAGACTCTCTTTTAAAAGTTACGACTCCGCTCGTCCCTTGCCTTATGACTTCCATGGCCAGGTCTTCTCCAAGAGCTGTTACCTCAATGAAGTTCTCAGGAATATCTATCATCCTCCGCAGTAGGTAATAGTCGGCGGATACTTCAGGGTTATCGGCCTCTGCTGCGCACGACACGATTAACTGTGAAATAAAAAAAGAGAATTATCACAGAAGAAAAGTATGTCTTTTTATAATGGACCAGTGAGCTTCCATTTCTTCTTTTGAATGAATTCTGTTTCATAGAGACTATGAAATCATTTCATCAGTTATTTTCCTTTCCGCACGTTCCTTCAGTCATGAACCAAGAAACAACAGTGGCAGCATTACCCCCAGCAAATTAATTAACCGCCACTTTTCAGTGAAAAGCCACGTAATTTCAGAAACTGATTTTTTTGAGTATGGGCGAACTCGGACCACGCATGCATCTTGCCTCAGCAGGTGCAAGTACTTTTCTGGGAGGGGATCAGCATTGTCGCTGAATCACGATTTTTATCCCCCTAGGTTATTAGCCTTAAGGGGTATGGTCGATGAAATGATGATGATGATGGTGATGGCGAGGGATGAAAGAACAATAGACACATATGGACATACACAAGTACACCCAAGACTGAAAGAGTTAGGAGGCAGAGGAAGAGACTGTAAAAGTATTTGTAATTTTTTTATATGAGATTATTCATTACATTCTGTAAAAGATGGACTTTTAAAAACTCATACAATTTCAATGTTTTATAAAATGTTAATTTTCTTGCCTTTCTTTGTGGAGCTTTTGAAATAAAAAAGGTTAATTTCTGAAATTTTCGAATATTAAAAGATGTTAATGAAAATTAGACCTTAACCGTATTTTCAATGTCTTTTTTATCTATTTGAACGAGAAATTTAAAGACAAAATCTAGTGGCGGTTTTGAGAACCAGGAGATTATTATGTTTTAAGGCAAAACAATTAAATCTGTGTTCATTTACGAAAGGTAGATGTGAACGAACGTAAAAAATATACATAATTGTATGTTGTATAGCCTCGTCCTTTTCAAGCCAGAAAAACAGTGCAGCCAAACAAACGTGAATAGTGTAAGTCAAGTATTGACGTTAATATCTAAATAGTTACAATAGGCAATACGAGTTTTCTCTCCGGTGCATGTCTGACCTATCTGGACTTTCTGGATTTGCTTCCTATTTCAAACCGTTACGTTCTCTAATATACTTACTTTGCAGTAGGGAGGAAGACGAAGAGGCAGCCAAGACACTTTATTTGCATCTTGAGCTCCCGTCAGTTGATCTACAGAGTCTAGGAAAAGAGTGAGAGGTTGCTCTTTGCTAGCGTTTGTCAATAAATATTTGAAGTGGGCTGTGAGTGGCACAAGATCTACGGGAATATCTTCAAATGGCAGCATGTAATTGTATGAAATCTGAAATAGAAACATGAATTAAAGAAATGTTCAGCACTAAATGTTTCAATGTATTCAAGAAAATAATAAAATAAAATTGACAGACCTGTTGACAAATTGAAATGAGCGTAGGAGTCAATGCACTGCTATCTGGCGTGGTGCCCAAGAAGCGAATGATGTTTATAGGCTTTTTTCCCTTATACCACTCCTCTGCCGTCAAACTCACAGATTTCGCCAGTAAAGATGTTTTTCCACAGCCACCTTCTCCATAGAGAACTATAGGTTTATCTGAATCTCCAAGCATATAGCTTTTAATGTGCTCCAAGTTATTTTCACGACCATAGAATACCTTGTGAGAACAGAATTAAAATATTTTGTTCTAGTATGGTAAATAATATTAAACGAAATTGTAATAGATCCTTTCAAAATGCCTCAATCGCAATAACATATCCAACGGCTGTAGTTGGTTTGATAACTACATCATCTTATCTCAAATTGCACACTGAATTTTCAATTTTACTTCACAGTCGCTTGGAATTGTGCGCCCTGTGGATCAGTCCTCGAAACCTCCCCGAAATGTTCGCCGAGACCGCTCACCTTAACGGAGTTGTTGCACGCGTGGAGGTGTTGCAAGATCTCCGTGACGATTTGACCTTGAGCGCTTGAATCTTCTTTCCGCATCGCTCTGTCGACAAGTTTGGTGATGTTTTTATAAAAGTGCGTGATGAAATGTTGGAGGTATTCTTCGTGGGTCTCGGTGTCAAGACCTTCCCGCCCGATCCATTCCACAGTGTACCTACGGCGAAACATCACGTCATTACTTGTCTGATTTTGTTTATTGGAATATTTCAAAATACTGTGTGCAAGAGTAGGGTTAACTGCGCGTAATAACAAATCGTATAATCCCTTATTATAATATGAAAAACTGAAAGAACATTGCCTTCTAACAATGATAGTTTATCTATCTGTGGTTTTATTGAGAATGTGTCTTTAACTTCCGAATTTCACTATTGAACACAATATTGCCATGGAAAATATGAGTTATCACAGTGAATGTTATTTGTGTTGTACCACAGCATACTTATTGTACTATCAATGTGTATTTGTTTTGTTTTTTTTAATTTCAAACTGTAACTCTGTTTAGAGTTTACTAACTCCATCTATATTTATGAAATTATCCTTTCCGAGAGCGACAACCACTGTAGTTGTTAGGCCCGTAAGTGTAGTTCGGGTTATATTGCCGGAAGTTGCGATGTTCCATCCGAGCTGGAATGTGAGATCCAATTCAGAACACACTCCAAACCTTGTGTTGTCGATACGGTTGGGCGATTTAATCGCGTTTAGTATAACAATCGATTATTTTATACGATTAATCGCAAAATTGAAATCGATTATATTACAGCGATTAATGTATATATCGATTAATTTTACCAAATTTTTAGCTCGATTATTTTAATTCAAATATTAATTCTCAAGAGAGCAAAATAAGAAAGTACATCTCTACTTTTAGGCGTCAGCAACGGAATTCCTCGCCTATTCATCTCTCGCCATCCGCAAAACATAATGAAGACAAACATGCGCGATTAACTTTATGTTAGTAAAACTAATAAAATGAAAAGTCATATTGTATGTTCTAATATTCTCGTAATTGTATTATATCCAGTATTGAATACAAAAGAGGCAAAATGACCAGTTTTCCTAGAATCGTCCTCGACCAAGTACATCCTCAGATCACAATTGTTGATGTTACTATTTTTAGAAATTCTAAGACCATTTTAATTTTAAACTGACCATTTTCATTTGAAAATCAGTTTATCGTTAATCAAATATAGGATGCGAATGAGCCGTTTGTTTCATGAGTACATGTGTGAATGAATATTATTTTAAAATAAACAAATATTATTTATTAAATCGTGCCATGCTTTTAAAAAACTATTAAACGCTTAATGGAAACTCTTAAACAGCTACTAAACGATTAATTCATTTACAATTTAAAAATTAACGATTTTACGCATAATTTCACACATGTGAAGAACTAATCGATTATAAAAGATAATTGATTAATTCGGAACGATTAATCGATGAATATTAATTTAATCAATAAAATCGTCGATTAGATATTAATCGATTATTATTTAATCACTCATGCCTAGTTGTCGAGCGTCCTCGGCCTGAGGGGACGTGGCAAAATGGTGATTTCGGCAGTCCCGTCACAAGGTAATATGGCTGCCGGGGGGACCGTTTCCTGTGACTATTAATCTCAAACATCAATTTTATGCCGTGAAACTATTATAATATAGTACTATAAAAATTCACCAGTGACAGCAGTTAAAAAGTAAGGCAGTTGTTGAACAGAAAGTGGGAAAAGTTCTTATTCCGCTTAGCCAATAGTATTTCTTCCCGATATTCATCAAGATATCAAAGATTTGAAGTATATTTCTTCGAATATTAGATGCGAGAAAAATAATAAAAACCAAACTTAGAATTTATACTGGGATCTATGAGAATCATATCTACGTAGCCTTGCAGGGATTTTCCTCCACCAGATATCTCCCACCAGCGTTTCACCACCCCTGTCAGAACAAGTTTTAAGCTTCCGACTGGTCTCCGTACATGTGTTGTAGTGTAGTGCATGTGAGAGTGTGAGTGTGTAAGTAAGGGGTGAGGAAAGGACAAGAAAATGGAAGGAAAGATCGCGCGCGGTCCGTGGCCCGTTACTACTGCTCCGGCATTCGCGTGGTGTAGAGCGGGACACCACAGAAAACTACCGATCGGAGCAGCTGGCTCATGAGAGTCGTTAGACGTTATTTGACAGTTATTTTCACAAATTTAGTTATCTTAATTCCCAGTTTCTCTTTAAAGTGAAGAAACGATTCGTTCAAATGAAATATTAAATCAATCAGATTTTAAATTCTCAATTGAGAGTAAAAAAAATTGAAATAAAAATATATATTTTGTAATTCCGTTTATTTAAGAGTGATATAAAGGCATTAACATTCTACGTTCAGGTTTAAGAGGTTTAACAGAAAAATAGTCTTGTCTGTCAAAAGCGCTCTCCATCCGTAAGCGAGAATTATTAACTTATAGAGACTTTTTTATTTCACATTATTGCTAAATACAATAAATAACTGAATGATTTAATAACACAACACAAAACGATACGCAAGAAACGAACTTGCCATTCAAACATAATTCTGTCTCATCGCAAAGATGTTTATTTAAGGGAAAATTTAGTGAGAAAATAAACACAAAATAGTAATTAGTGAAGAATATAAACATAAAACAATTCTAGGTTAACTGATAGAAAAAATCCGTCAAACTTATTTTTGTATGAAGTCTCTATTCCCCGCCGCGCGGCTTGCGCGTGTACACCTCTTTCTGGATTTTAAGGGGAAATGAGAGAGGAGTCAGGGAAAGTTGCCCGTGCCCGTAGGAGGGCCGGGCTCCTCAGGCGGCTAGTACGAGCTCGTGCTAGTGTAGCTCGTAGTAGTTCGTAGTCGTAGAAGTTCGTAGCTTGTGCGGGTTCGGTTTGACGTGCCTGCTGTAGAATTTAGGATGAAGCGTGGGAGATTTCAATCTGCTTATTTCGCTCGTCTGCTTCCAGAGTCAGGAGAGATACGTGGATGAGAAAGGTAATACAGAGTATGGCTAGATGTACAACAGCTCCCTTTTCGATGGAATAAATCCACAGATTGAGTACAGACGGCAATAGCTTGGTATTGTTGAATTAGGTAAGCCGCATTATAAAAGATAGGTATTCTCGTCTCGAATTAGTCACCGACGTCAGTAGGTTGGGTCCGTGCGGTGTTCTACATGTTGTATTCTACATCTACATTCTACATCTACACAATCTTGATAACATGGTGTTTGACCCTTAAAGTTTCATTACATATCGTCCAAAATATAGTTAACTTAAGCGACCGAAAATAAATAAATAAATAACAGCTAAATTAAGCAATCTCTATTAGATTGTACCCATGGATTACTGACATTTGTAGTAATTAATTGTCTTTGAGTGACATATTCTTATCAAAACCCTTGATACCCTGTCGTAACCCTGACTTCTCTGTCACAACTTCTAAATATTAGGACATAATTACCTTTGTAGATTAGTTGATTCAATTTTGTCAGGAAGACGCTCATCTCTTAAATTTGCCAACAGCTTCGAGGCTTCTGTATCTAAACTGCGATTCAATATATCCAGAAAAAGGGATGCTTTTTTGAGATTTTGCAGATTAATGTTATTAATGTATCTAACGTATGCTAAACAATGGTTTTTTGTGTTCTTTACATTTAATACACCATTAATGACTTCACGTTCCGTCACTGAAAATAAAATTAATTATTTAATCAATTTGTTACCGTCCGTTTAAACTTGTATCGTCTTTCAGACTTCCGCACACGACACATTACTTTACCTGACATGAAATAATTGTGCATAGTGTCTTTGTCAATTTTTTCATTCGTGTAGAGGGACAGCGAAGCTTTCCGAAATAACTTCTGCATTTTTGACAAAGTGTCCCACCAAACTGCTTGGTCATGTTGTTGTAATTTAGGAATTCTCTGAAACAGTGAACAGATTTTCAGAAGGCATGCTTTTTAGTACATTCTCCTTATCTATATACACCGTAATGGACAAGATGGTAATGAGTTTTGCCAATCGTAATTGGAGAGTCTTTAGATACATGGTAAGGGATAATTTTTCAAATTATAAGTGTCTATAAGCAAAATTACTTTATCAAGGGTATACTATACAACAACAGCATATACATTCTCGCATTATTTCCAATTTTGCAATTTTCGAAAAAGAGAGTTCAAGGAAAGTGCGTCCTGAGCCATTCTTTTAAGCGGCTCTTCTTCTATGGGCGTAATAAAGTTGAAGAATTTGGAGGGGTTTTAGAGATTTTTTTAAAAATTGCATTAATTTAAAGCCCAAATTATGTAACAGCTATTCGCTGTTTTTTCAAAAAATTGTACATGACCTTTCTTTAAAGGGGTGGTTGTTTAGACAGATTTTGTTTACAGCAAAACACTCTACATTCAATTTGGTAATTTTTTAATGTTAAAACTTTGTATTCTTCGAAAATACAGAGAAATCGCCGGAAATGAGTCTAGCACCATTTTTTTTACCGTTTTCACATACGAGGAGAAAATTTAAAGTTAACAGTTGGAGCCGTTCTATGAAAAATATTTTTAAAAAATAAAAAAATGCCTACCTTTCAGACAAAATTACTCATATTTCGAAAAACTGTAGATGGCCATATTTTAAGATCTGCCTTTATAGAACTTTTTAATAAGGGGAAAAATCTATCATCAATGGTGTAGTTGTGCAATTTTGTGGCTTCTTCCTACTTTTGCAATTGTCGAAAAATCAGGGATTTTAACAAACATATGACCTGCACCGTTCTCTTAAGCGTTTTTTATGATACCCGAGAACAAATTTTAATCAAAAAATTTGGAGCCGTTTTCGATTGGACGATTTTTGAAAAGTTGTATTTTTCTTGTACACCTAGGTTATTACAATTTTAGACTGCGAAGGTTATTGTTATTTTTTTCACATTCATTTAAAAAACACATGTCTAATATTTCAAGGTTATCAGGGAGCGCTTAGTTCGAATACCTTGTTGTTGAAGTTGACGAGGATGGAGGAGATGGGCTGCAGCACGGAGACGGGCGGCACGGCGTTGGCGTCCTTGCGGTACCACGTGTCGAGGAGATTCACTTCCGCCCCCATCGACACCAGCTCCTCGCGCAGCAGCGCCAGCTCCGACGACAGGATGTAGGTGGGAATGGGCCTGTAGCCGTACTTCTGGCCCAGGAACACCTGCGCCCGCACGCCCACGCCCCCACGCCCTCTCGCCTCCGCCCTAAGCCATTGCACCGGGAGCAGCGCAAAAACGTTTCTTTCGGCAATGGGGTGTCATCTGACTTGCTCTCAAGAAGGCGGCGACCTCGATGTTTTCAAAACTAGTGGTGATGTGTTAACATTTATGTTTTGTGCTTGACGTTTTTGTTCGTTCGTTTGTTTGTTTTTGTGAAAGAAGTTCCAAAATCACAATATTGTTAGAGTTAAAATATTAAATAATATCATTGCCAGTTCATGTGTTCGTACGAAGTGAGCATTGTTTATACTACCTTCATCGACCAGACTATCTCTCCCACAAGAGAAGACCCCGATGATCTGATATTTCCGGCGATACTCCTTACATTACGCACGCAAAAAGGCGCTCGCCGCATATGTATTTGGAATCCGTTGCGCAAAAGCATGTTGTGCGTTTTGCATGTTTTGCGCAAACCTATCAATCCACCCACCGTTGTTAGTCCACCTGGAGAAGCATCTTCTCCTTCCGATAAATGCAATATGTAGTATAATTATTTTGCATCAACCTTTACGACTTACCCTTCTCAAAATTGGCATCACGATAATCATATTGAAGAAGAAATTACACGACCAGAAATAATAGTTCCTGAATGCCCTAAATTTAAATCAAAATCAGAAATCATCAAGTATCTTTTACTAGCAACCCCGAAATTATCAAATGACCATGATTTATGAATTATCAAATGACCGTGAACAACGTTTTTTAATAAAAAACCTTTTTTGTGGAATCCTCAATTATTTCCTGCGGCAACAAATAATATTTCCCTAACAATACTTGAACCAGCCAACCTTCCTTCCGAAGAGCTGGGCCTGTCATTTTGTACAAAATAATTTATCTGAGCCAAAAACCTTTATATTCAATTTTTTATTTTAATTTGATTTTTTTTTTTTGCAATTTTCGAAAAATTGGGGAAATTACCGACAATAAAACCAGCACCATTCTCTTAAACGTCTTCCGCACTATTTAACAATAAAATTTAATCAAAAAATTTGGATCGTTTTTGTTTTAATTTTGAAAATGACTGAGGGACGTCATGTAAAGAACCCCCAAAATTGAAATATCTGACAAGAAATTAAAAATTGAAAAATGGAACCTAGAGAAGTGTTTCAGAAGAACTGAATTAATTATTTTTGATTATTTGTCCATTACTTATGAATTTTATTATGAATTATTTCATGATTTCTAAATATATTCATAATTCAAATACGTAGGGATAGTAGAATTGTAGTTCAACCTAGTAAAGCAGAGTAGCTACGGTCAATAAAGGGATCGTAAGAAAACGTACATTTTGGACATTTTTACGTTAAATAAATAAATTGCACTTTAAATACAATGCACATTATTGTTAAAGTATGATTTGGTGTGCTGAAATTCAAACGCTTATTTCCCACTAATTATTTATTTATTTTTTGGAAAAAATTATAAAACACGTTTCCCGGGCTGCTGTGCCAGCTTCATCAGGTGTACGGAAAAATGGGAAAAGTTGGTTCAAATAAAATCATGATACATATAGTCTAAAATAAGTAAAATAAAATGACACATTGGACACTGCGCTGAGAATCCAAAACTGAAAAAGTGCCGCACGTCTGAGTCAAAGACCCATACCACGTTTGTACAACGCATTAGTGCAAATAATTTAAATGAAATGCGATAATTTATACCTCTTTAATTTGAATTAATTATTCAGAGAAGTTACAATCAAAATGACAAAGTTTTAATGGGGGAAATTTACACAAATTGAATAAAACAACAAATGGGACTCGCAGTTGACCTTATAGGCATTTATACTGGAGTCATTTCGAGACCACGTATCGCCTATTTGTAGGGTAAGGACGCTTACTCACATGCCCTTTCCACTAATCACGTCCCACGTTTGTCGCAACGTGTCTGTCGGTGTATTGTGTTGGTGCATTATGTTGCCTAACACTCGAAATAATACAATTAACAAACGTGTATACTTTCAAATGAATTTAATATCTATATTTATGTTTAAAAGCATCACGTCTGTAGAAACAGCGGGAAATGGTTGAGTCTGACATCACTAGAGCTTTTATGATCTTCATTTGTTACACCTAAATTAATTTTTTTAATAATTTTGTCTATTTTCAGATTTGCTTTTCATTTGGAGCGTAAAATTTGTTTCTTGAATATTAGCCCGTTAAGAAAATTAATAAAGTAAATAAATCAGACAATTGTGACCATGTGCATTATCATGATTGCAGGTTGTAGATGATTAAATAAATATAAAATTTAATTTAAAAAGCCCAGCCGGAGAAGAGCGCCACTCGGCCTGCACCACTCACCACGAAGTTGGGCCCCATGGACAGGCGCTGGCAGTTCTCGATCTCCCTCATGCACAGCTCCGTCGTCATGTGGTCGTCGGTGGCCTCGTCTCGCACGCCCCACCTCATGTCCACCACCTGCGCATGTGCAGCTGACTGGGCTCGGAGGCGGAAACACTGAGCGGCAAGGAGGCTCGATAGCTAGCAGGATCGGAGACTAAAAAGTTTGGTCACAGGGAAGCTGGAAAGATAGCAGGCGCGGAGCTCGCGGCGTAGAAGTCCAAGGCAGGGAGGCGAGAGTCTTGCAGTTTTGGAGGCTAAAAATCTTGGAGACAGGTAGACTGGAAAGCTAACAGGTTCGAAGGCTGAATCACTCAGAGTCTGATGAACCACCAGGCGAAAAGACAGACGCCCGAAGACAGGGAGGCTGTTGAGCCAGCAGGCCCAGAGGCTTAAGACACCCGGAGGCAGAGGGGTTGGGAAGCTAGCAGGCATTGAGACTAAGACACTTGCAAGCTGTGGAGCTTGGAGTATTAGACGAGCCCCTTGAGAGTTTGGGAATTAGAAAGTTTGGAAACTAGAAGACTGAGGGGCAGTGAGTCTAGGAGACTGAAGATGAATCTTAAGATATAAGAATGGCATGCTCGTGTGTTTGTCTGCTACAGTGAGCTGGTTAATTTTAACTTGTATTGTGGTGAAGCAATGCAACAAAGTTGAGTTTTCAAATGCCTTGCGAGCAAAAGTGTTGTATTTTGTATTAGAGTATTGCAAAGGTTTTTCTTCTTATAATTACATATTAATTTGCAAACAATGAATGAATCATTTTCTGACTTAAAATACAGAATTTTAAAATGTAGAGAATCTGTTGTAGAAATTGATAATCTCAGTGAACTGGGGTGATAAATGTTTATAAAACTTTTGCTAAAACTGATCAGTAGTGAAATGTTTTCCTACTCTTCCTGTTTTTAGAGCTGAAATTTGATATAGCATTATAATTCTCATTGTTAATACATAGTTTTGGAGAGATGTAGATGGAAAGCTTGAATTGAGTCATCAAAGTTCCTTTGCTAATAGTTTCCGAATGAAATGGTATATTTATTATTATTATTATTATTATTATTATTATTATTATTATTATTATTATTTTGTTGAAGATATAGAATGATTACCGATATTTAAATTTTTCTTTTTTGTAATTAATGCGCATTTACGAGCAATTTTAATATAAAGCTGCCACTCACAATGTTTCCTTGCATACCGATTTCACCAGGGTACTAGGACATTAATCCGTTGATCCATCAGTGATGCTGGGTCAAAAAGTCCTAAAACGTTTTCACATACACATGTAATAGTCTCCAATTATGACTCCATGAACGTACGTGTTTTTTCATGAGTTCTTTATACATTTTGTCAATGACAGAAGAAATAATCATTTTCTCTTTCTTTGATTCTTCAGACAGTTAATATTTTGTATTACACTGGTATATTAATTATTGTTTCGGTTTATTTTATGATATTACGCTTCTAGCGATTTACCATGATTCTTTGGTTTCTAGAGTACGTTTTTTTTAACTTGCCGTCGAGACTTTTGCGCTTGGGAACTCTCATGCTTTGTCGCCAACTCCCCTATCTCTTACGCTTTGCCAACATGATATTATTTGATTTTTTTTTTTCAAAGAACAATAAAAACTGTGTGTGAGGTTAGCAGGAAAAGTACAATCTGCGTGCGCTTTCTTAAGTTCAAGAATCTCTTCATCAACTTTTAACTATGTGTGTAATGAATATGAATGAATGATGAATGAAAGTACCAACAAAGCGAGGTTAGCAATCGAAAGAGGAGTAAATAATGTTCTTACAAGTCAATACGGTATTTCTGCTCTTCGGGAATGATGTTTAACGTACGAGGATAGGTACGACGTTTGGGACATTATCGCGAATTTCATTGAAAGTACTTTTGAGAATGAACGTACGAGGATAGGTACGACGTTTGGGACATTACCGCGAATTTCATTGAAGGTACTTTTGAGAGCAAAATTCTTTTGCCAAATATATCAAAAGGGTTCGAATGATGCAAAAATATTTTGATCCATTGATGCATCAACCTCTTTAAGAGAAGAAAAAAATTGCAGGTTTCCATTTTCCAAAACCATGTGGAGACTTCTTTTTCTTGAGAAAAGTTACCATTTGTATACAGAATAGCCTCAATTTTATTTTTTATTTTTTGCATCGCTTTTAGAAAATTATTTTGCAAATCATTCGAAACACAAGGTGTTACCTCATGTTCCGGATATCCTCGTCTGTGTTGTCGTACTTCTGCACACTTAATCTTTCAAATATAGAAAAAGTCTGGCAGATAGACCTCCGTTTACCCATTTCCTTAGTTATCAGAGAGTCTTTCCTCTTCCACTTATAATTAGTTTTAGAAATTCAACTGAATCGACTAATCCCTTTAGTATCCTATAGCATATGCGTCAGTTTCTAATTGATTTCCGAGGTTTTAATTTCGTTAGAGACATGCAGAAAAGAAAACATAAATAGTGTTTCGCCAGAGAAACATTATAATTTGCTGTGAGCGCGGATAATGTGAATCCCTACAAAATGTTGCAATGGATATGAGGAAGGTCAGAATTACCTTGAAAGTCTGACGACGATTGAGCAACGATATGGAATATACCGATGACGAATCTATGCCGTTGTACCGGTGCTTCGAAAGAGAGAAATTTTCTTATTTAATAAGAATATCAAGAATATTAACCATCCGTTATTTAAATTTAAAAGAAGAGTACACACTATTGTGCTAAGTCAACTAACTTACTATTTCTTACTTTTCGTCTTTCTATTCCTAACTTTTCATTCTTTCTCCTTCTTCTCTTTCATTTTCTTACCCTACTATTTCTTCTCCTTAGTCTTCTTTTTGATTCTTATTATTTTGTGTTCTATTACGTTTTCTGTTTCTTATTTTTCTTCTTTTTCTTTTCTTTCTCTTCTTCCCTTTTCTTTCTCTTGATTGATTATTTCCTGTTTCCGGGCGAGTCAACAGTCAGGTCATCAGCCCTGTAGGTGTAGTGCATGTTTTATCTCGGGAGATGACAGTGTTTTCTCCCAATGGATGATGAGGACCGGCGACGTCGAACACGTCAGCTTGGGGAGATTTTTCTATCCAGGTATCTCTCACCAGCTGGGTAACGCCCCAGACAGGGCAAGCTCTAAGCTCTGACTGGTCTCTTGACGTGTGGTAGTGTAATGCAAATGTTTGTAAGTATAACGTGAAGATAGTGCAAGGAAGAGAAATGAAAGATAGCACGAGGCACGTGGCCCGTTTTAGGGTAGTACTCCGGCATTTGCCTGGTGTTGACTGAAGAAACCATGGAAAGCCACCGATCAGAGCAACCGGCCGCTAGAATTCTCTTCCAGACAGTGGTTGAACTTGACATTCCTATCTAGCTAGTGTCGAAAATGTTGTCACAATTGAGTCTCGCACTTGGACTTCCCAATAAGAAGCGCTGCAGTGACATCAATTGATGCCCTGAGCTATCTCCGCCGGTACTTCACCTCATTTTCTCCTCGGAGTCCAGTTAATGTGACAACCCGATTACAGGACGCGTAACGCACACGCGTCAAGCGGGTTGCGTCGAGCAGGGTGGCTGCGAACTCTAGTGCCCAGCTAAAATTCTATTGATGACCATACGGTTTCAGTTCTCCAGCACTTCATTACAAGTTCTTAGTTCTTAAATCAATTCATTTTGTGGCATTCTGAATGAGTAGTTGTGCCAAACGCACGAATTTCTGAAAACTGCCAATCACGTCTACACTCATTTTATCCCGCAGTTCCAAGGTAGAAGCAAAAAAGTACCAATTTTCTTTGTGATGGTTTCTTTTTCCCGCTACCACTATTAAATCCTCGGCGACTTACAATAAAAAAATTAAAATCCCTTTTTTTGTAACTCGGCTATAATTGCTTTGAAAACCTAGTATGTGTGTGAGTCACATCTATTAAAAGAACATCATACTATACATAACTGTTGTTTTCCGACCAAACTTTGAAACATTTTAAATAAATATATCCTGTTAAAATGTGTGTATATTTTTGGCATATTCTTTTTTAAACAGGGTAAGATATATACAGTGGCATTATCGTAATTCTTTAATATCTGGGAAGTGTTGTGATGGACATATTCCCACTTTTACATGACTTCTGTTATTTTTTAAAGATGATTGACGATAATTAAATATGTTGTTGATATTCCTTACTCTTATTTTGATCCCATATTTGTTTTCCTGGTACATTATCATAAGTCTTGTGTAACTCTAAATTTTTCTCTATCATTTCTTTGACAAAAAAATTGAGGAATAGAGGAATGTACAGAAACTTCCTGGCCAAAAAACAACTTAGCTCATCTGAGTCGAATACTTGCATTTCAATTCTATTATTTAGCACACGTCCATGTAGTCTAAATAAAGATGAAGTCACATTTATCTCTCTATAGTTATTACATTCTTTTTTGCAGCCTTATTTGTAAATTGAATTTTTATAAGCTAATTTCCACATTTCTGGCATTTTACCGCCTTTTAAAATGCCATTGAATATATCTGTAAATCGTGCCAGAGCTACAAAAGGATATTGCTTAACAAGCTCTAGGGATTCACATCCTTCTTTATTTACACCACGCGTAAAACTAGTGGTTTTGCATTTATACACGAGTATCTTCTTTCTATTAATTTGCCCATTTTTTCAGTCCGTAGAAGTGGTGGTGTAATTTATCGTAGCCGTAGTTTGGGAGACATCAAACGCCTTCTTAAAGTCTATTACTGCCGCATCGATTGTATCAGCTTCAGCTAGTGAACCCACGACATCCCAGCAATATGCTTTTGCTTGACTCCCACACGAGTACCCATTTCTGAACCCATGCTTCCCCATATAAGTATGCAGTATTAGTATTAGTATTAGTATTAATATCCCCATATTAGCATAATACGGAGGCATACTAATAACATTAGTATATTAGAATAATATGGAGCCTCCATATTAACACATTCTCATAATAAATATCCTCTTCATAAGCGACAATCAATCCATCCCCTATATACACACATCCAGATATCAATTTTGATAAAGCGTTTCATTTGCAACGATTATG